CTTTATTTTGTAATTCTGTGTTCTTCCAGAGTTCTATTTAGAGCGCTAAGTGTGTGGCTGTAGTCGACACTARTGAAAAACGCACTGCGCATGCCCACAGCTTTCCCGCCACTGAGCGCGCGCGTCTTGAAATCTGYAAACAGAGCGCCTGGCGATTTACAGGGACAACGAGCGACAACGCAGAAAACACTACGAGAAACCTCATTTTCTCAAAGTAGAAAYAACAAGATGAAATCAGAAACTACATAGTAAAAGATCGTATCATGAACAATGATTGACGGAAATATGAATCTTATATATCGGTGAACGAGCTTATAAATTGTAAAAAACTTTCACAAAAATCGCTTTACAAAGATGACAGATGTATTCAATTTGCCATACAGCAAAGACGTAGAAGTCCATATGTGGATTTGTTGATGAATTTAGTCAAGTCATGCAGTTGTGAAGGAAACTGAATAGCTAGAATTTTTTTCTGTAAGTGAACTGTATGATCAAATACAAATTTGTCACTAAATCTCGCGCCAAAACGCATTGGCTACAGCCCATAAAAATAGCTGGAGACCATTTTGGCCAAAAAAGCCCATGAAAATGGCCTGTTCGGTCCAAAAAGCACGGGTTATAGTCTTTGAAAATACCCAAACTCGGTTTTAGTCCAAAGCATTGGCTATAGCCCACGAAAATGGCCACATTGGCTGGAGACCATTTTGCGCACAAAAATGGGCAATTTTGGTCGAGTCAATTTTTGGCCAAAAATGAACAAAATCGATCATTTTTAATATTAAAATATTTTGTATATGCACGTCAGTTTTCTAAACTGTAAAATTATAAACAAATAATATGAAGTACAAATATATCATGAATTACTGGGCTACCTGTGTCTAATTGCGTATTCAGTGTGACAGTTTCCCGAACATGAAGTGACAAGCTTGTTTCCTGGGCTAAAATATCATCGAATTTTCGCTGTTTTCCTCATTCAAAGGTAAGACTTAATTAAGAACTTATATTTTACGGGTTTGCAAAAGATTGTTAACGATTTTTGTGCCAATTATTTGGCTCGACAGTGTTATATCCATTGTTTAGCCGTTTGCGCCAAAGGTCAAGTTTAWGTGACATATGAGAGTTKAAGACCAGTATTCAGTAAAAACCAAGAAAATCTAAAATACCTTGGCAGGCCAACGTTACCAAATCTTATAATATTCTATGCACAAATAGGTATTGGGGTACTTATTCAAAAAATACCAATAGTTTGCAGAATCTCATTATTCCTGATTTTTTAGGGCAATCAATTCCTGTGGTGACTTTTGACCCACATTTCAAATCAAATTTTATTGGTAAAATAAGGCCAAAAAAAGAACACTTGCAGTTTTTAAATCAGATGTTTTTGGCTTTTGTCATTGAAATGTATCTTCCCTTGCACCAAAAACTGCATTTTGAAACAAATACATTGCTTTGCCAAATGTTGGGCTTCCTGTGCGAAAACCCATGTTTTGCTAATTTATCAACATGCTAAAATTGAACAAATTCAAAGCGCTCTAGCACCCGTGCCATATACACAATCCACACCATTCTTGGTATGCATACACATCGATTATTGTCGTATCCAAATACAAAAATTCAGCTCTGGCAAAACAGTTGTTGCTGCAAAACTTCATGATGAATATACCAAGGTTACACGATAATACACAAATGCACACATATTTTATATCAAAAATGTTTTAAAGTTTAGGAGATAAAACAGCGAAATAAGCTTCAAAATGACTTGAAATATCTGAATTTTCTAATTTTGGATCGTTCGATGGAATGATTCTCACAAATATTGCAAACAGAGGCCATTTGTAAGCATAATTTTTCATTTTTTTGTGCAAATTTCGATTAGACAACTTCTTCTTACCTTTGGTCACGCTTTAACACCACAAGACCACTTTTAAGAAATGAATCGTCTTGTCCATCTTTGGATTAGTGCTTGGGAAATTATCTTNATTTAACTATGTTTAGAATGAAGATAGTTATGATCATATACGTACCTTTGTTTTATTGCCTCATGCAGGAGCAGGTCGCCACAAATTCTTCGATTGATGAAATGTATGGCGCTTTTCTTTTTCCCGAACCTACTTCGGACAAATTTACTTCAAGTGTTTCACACAAGCTCTTGAGTATTGAGACTGAAAGTTTGCTCAACTTCTGGTTTTTCGCAAGRTTACAAATGTTGTGACCATCAATTATAATTGGATGAGTTAACTGAACATTTCGATCCACCATTTGACGCATGTCTTCTAACACCATCTCCTCGGATATTGCAGAAGCTTGTTTTCTCTCCGTCTCTTCATTATCATGAGCTCGCTTTCTCTTTGATGATACCCTGGAAAAATATCCTTTTATCTGGTCTGCCGAAAGGAATTCGTCGACACTAAAAATACGACCCCCGTCATCGTCTTTCGCTACCCTCATCTCCAGAGACACTTGCAAGGGATCATATTTCTTYCCGGTTTTGACGCCCAGTTGAAATTTCTCAYCAAGAAACTCCTTCTGTTTTGGTGTAAATCGTGACGCCTTTTTCTTAACTCGAAGGGCCCAGCCTCGAGGAAGTGTTTCATTAGTGGTTTGAACGTTCTGATCAAACCCTGGGTTTACATGGCCGACATCCGGCTTARCGCCATGGCCAACTAGCAGTTTATCAGCATATAGGACTTWARCCTTGTTAAATAGAGACTCTCTTTCGATCTTATATTCGCATTTTCCATATTCCATGTGMMATTCAAGTTTACCATAGCTTTRRTAGACTTTGACGCAGCCTTCTCTGGGGCAAGTAAAGATGGCATCATGTGAATCACTTGAGTCTTCACTCGATGACGTCACTGAGTTATCCCCTTTGTTACATGTTTTCGTSACATCAATCCTTGGTTCTTTCTTCACCTTGACTTCTTTGAAACCATTTCCAGAAAACGTGTTTGATAACCATTTTCGATAAATTCTTCCATGAACTATCGAAAGATTCAAGTATATTATTAATGACATAAAAGATAACCATTAGCCTCTCGCACAGGCGTTCTTAGTCTCGCCACGAAAACGCCTGTGAGAAAGGCTAGAGAACTATGTGATTCATAAAATTAAATCGGTTCTTCAAATCTTGAGTTCTAGAAACCTAATAGTTCATGAGTTCCGACGTAATAATGCAGGGTAAATTTCTCAAGTTAGCCTYAATATTTACCTTCAAACTTTGACCAAGGTAAAAATTGTCCCTCGCCTATTGAATATGATTGCCAAGATGTGACACCATTCTCATCAAACTGAAAGTTATTTAGACTACTAATTCCTTCCCACTTCAGTTCAGACGTATCACTGTCGATGATGTCTTCTTNATGTGTATAAAACACTGCGTATTAAGTACTCCTCCCTTCTTTGTTGTTACATGACACAGATGCCACGAAATGCCTCTTTTGGCGAACCAATTTCCTTGTGACTCGCGAAAATGTTGCGGGAGAAATTTCATTGCAAAGTCATCATTTACGAGAACACTGTGTTCGTCTAGCAATTCAATAACATCGTGTTTAGCTTTGTCTTGGTTTATTGTCCTTAATTGATGTCTCTTGAATGCATCAATGTGAATGCAGGCTTCACGAACTATGTAAGTGGCGTTGTCTTTCTCGTCAGTATTTACAAAGTTAGCGTGCTCGACTTCAGATTTTATTTCATCCATAGTGGCTTTTTAAAAGGTCTTCACAGCGGTCATACGTTTCATTGTGTGGATGATCACAGGCTGCCTGGAAGACTTTTTTGCTGCTATCACTCAGAGAATACCTTAGACAATGGTCCGGGATGGTTGAATTCTCAGATATGTGTACCTATAAAAAATCAGATTATTATACACAAAATGTCTATTCAAGTTAAAACGATTCTGTCAAATACTTTGGTCATCCATGRACRCTTACCTTGTAGTCGCTCTTTAGGTATTGCTTGCCAGATAAAAGTCTGTTTTTGATGTCTTCAGCTTTAATAGCATCCAGTCCACATTCTTCTAAGGTGTTCACAATATTCGAGAGGTCGTCRAAGGCTTTACCAGCATCAGCTGAGAAGTAATCTAGGCCCTGAAGACTCTTTCTTGTTGATGCACTGCACACAGATAGTACACGTCTTAAAGTGCTTCGGCTCAGCGTTGTCTTCTCTCTTTCTTTGGCATAACTTAGGTATTGGTCAATWATGCGCTCACTTATAGATACTCTGATAACATTTGGAATGCGAATACTCTCGCCAGATTCAAGTTTTAGGGTTTTCTCCCCAAATGGCAAGTCTTGAACAACATAAGAGCTTGTTATGAAGTTAATAAAATCTTCTAATTGGCACGGGTTTACTCTTTGTCTGTATGGTGTGATAAGGGGAACTTGACTACCACGCCCATATATCGATTTGTGCTTTCTTGCCTCTGTAACACGGTACTGTGTCAGACCTGGAATAAACTTAGCCAACGTCTTGTAAGAAGCAAGGTCTGCCATAACTGATAAGATTTGTCTTCTACTAGCCCATGTTTTTGCATTTTTATATGCTTCACTCAACGACTGGAGGTATTTTGATTCCTCGTAAGATAKTTGGTGCTTCTCAGGAACTGTTCCCAGCTCGTTGTCCATACTAACATCATCTTTGAGAGCCTTCCAAAGCCTTCCAGGATCAGAGGGATAGATGAGCTTGATAACCACAGGTATAATGTCGCGTGCTTTGCTAATGTACAGTCTTTTAGTCCTTTCTGAATGCTCACGCGTACTATCAGGTATGGTTAATGGATCAATACCACAGCATCTAAGAAACTCGTTGAATGACTCTCTTCTGTATTCCAAGACGTGTTCCCTGGTCTCATCTGCCATTAAACTTTGCCTTATTCTCTTTTGATCTTCTTGGCTGATTAGCAAATCTGAGTYATATGATTGCTCTGGTTCCTGAAAGCTCTGACGAAAACAAAACCCTTAATGACGAAATCAAAAATTAAAAAAGTATGAAGAAAAACGTTAACAAAATCATAAACTTGTTATCTTTTAAATCACTTGATAATGTAATGGCAKTTTATGTACCTGGTGATCATTGTATATGTCTGTTGCTGTGAGGTRTAGACGCTTTAGTCCTTYGAAAGGCACGTCGACGATTTCCTTTGTGTTTGCGCAGTAATTMACTAATGTCTCATCAGAAGGGTCAACTTGCTTAATGGATATGCTAATGAGTTTTCCCCGGCAATGTCNATTCGAAGATAATTATGGGGTTGTCTATTGAGACAGCCAGCTCTATAACTTTGACGATTGTCTCCAGTTGCTGTATATTTTACATTTTTCGGAAAAGATAATTTCCCAAGCACTAATCCAAAGATGGACAAGACGATTCATTTCTTAAAAGTGGTCTTGTGGTGTTAAAGCGTGACCAAAGGTAAGAAGAAGTTGTCTAATCGAAATTTGCACAAAAAAATGAAAAATTATGCTTACAAATGGCCTCTGTTTGCAATATTTGTGAGAATCATTCCATCGAACGATCCAAAATTAGAAAATTCAGATATTTCAAGTCATTTTGAAGCTTATTTCGCTGTTTTATCTCCTAAACTTTAAAACATTTTTGATATAAAATATGTGTGCATTTGTGTATTATCGTGTAACCTTGGTATATTCATCATGAAGTTTTGCAGCAACAACTGTTTTGCCAGAGCTGAATTTTTGTATTTGGATACGACAATAATCGATGTGTATGCATACCAAGAATGGTGTGGATTGTGTATATGGCACGGGTGCTAGAGCGCTTTGAATTTGTTCAATTTTAGCATGTTGATAAATTAGCAAAACATGGGTTTTCGCACAGGAAGCCCAACATTTGGCAAAGCAATGTATTTGTTTCAAAATGCAGTTTTTGGTGCAAGGGAAGATACATTTCAATGACAAAAGCCAAAAACATCTGATTTAAAAACTGCAAGTGTTCTTTTTTTGGCCTTATTTTACCAATAAAATTTGATTTGAAATGTGCGTCAAAAGTCACCACAGGAATTGATTGCCCTAAAAAATCAGGAATAATGAGATTCTGCAAACTATTGGTATTTTTTGAATAAGTACCCCAATACCTATTTGTGCATAGAATATTATAAGATTTGGTAACGTYCGCCTGCCAAGCAATTCTCCATGCTTACAGAATACCAGTCTTAATTCGCGTACTTCAAAACAATTGCCCCAAAAACAAAAATTCTTCATAACGTCTAAAATAAAAATCTGAGAGATCTAAGAAATATATTGTAAGTAATAGCTCATCAGTGCCTATGTTCTGACAAAGTTTGAAGGATTTTAATTTTTTGATCTTCCAAGGCCKCAGTTGGTATTTACGGACAGCCGCTCTTAAGATACCCCGCTTCCGTGTACGAGTACGGGTAAACACTACCATTAGTCGTAGCCGGAAGACGAGTAAACATTTGTAGTTAAGTTACGCCGGGATCGCTGTAGCACAGTCTTTCGAGAAGAGACTGGGCACTACAGGAAAGATTCAAGATGGCCGTGCAAAAGATGAGGTATGTTTGAAGCGTTTCACACTATTCTTTTATACTATACTCTTGTAAGCTTTATAAAAAAGTCTCTAGGCTTTAATAATGAGGTCAATAAATGTCTTTTCTATATTTCGAAGAAGAACGATAGATGATTTAACCTTGCTTTTGGCCATGGATTCAGATTCAGATTCAGATGTAGAAATACTTTTGTTAGATGCTATAGAAAAGGTGCCGAGACCATTCAAAAGCTCTTTCAGGATCAATTTGGATGCTTTAGATGACAGGGAGTGCATTGAATTGTTTAGGTACGAGAGAATTTGTAACTTTATTGTTTGAAGATGGCTGGCTAACTAGACACCATTGTTTCAGGAAGGGCTTAATTTTGTATGTAATGGACTGTAATGACTGATATGTCATAACAATTTAGTATTATTATACATGTATTTCACACTACTTGTTTGAATAATTGTAATTCGAGGAATAGCAGTTGTTGTAAATTACTTTTTTCAGATTTAGTAAACATGACTTATACCGACTCTATGACCTTTTGCTAATCCCAGAAGTATACAAGTGTCCAAATGGCACAGTGGCTCGTGGTATGGAGTCCTTTCTTCTTTTACTTAGAAGGCTCACATATCCAAATSGTTTATCTGATCTGTGTCCACTTTTGGAAGGCGTATGGAGCAAAAGCTTATCCAGTCACATTGACCCTCCTTCACCGTCACAGTTTGGTTGGACGTGGAAAGAAGACAGATGGCAGCCGCTATGGACTACATTACAAGAGGTCTCCAAAGTTTGTGCTGCTTTCATAAATTGTGGCTGCAAAAAAGCTTGCACCTCCAGATGCAAATGCACCACGGCGAACCTTACTGAGCTTTGCGCATGCTCTGCAGGATGCACTAATGAAAATTTTAGTTGATTTTTGTGATCTCTTTTACGCTGCGCTAGCCGTCTCAATTATGTGCAAAATATTCAGAAATTTATAGATAAAACTCGTGAAATTTYAAACTACTTTTATTGTCTTCTATAATCACGGATCTCTTGGATTTGCAGGAGCTTAGTGAATAAAATAATTTATTAGGTGGTTTTGAGGCTAGCGCAGCGTAAAATAGATCTCTAAAAGGGTTTATTCCACATAAACATTATTTTCAGATATTTTAGGAGAAATATTTCATTAATTGATATTTTGGCATACACAGATAGATTATCCTATTGATAATCCATTGTAATATGGATTGAACCAGTGAGCATTAAAGGTCTTTATGTAAAAGCATTTGCTAGAATCATATTATGTAAACCGCTTAAAAAAATGCAAATGAGGTATATGTGAATTTCATTTCTATAGCTTCCCCCGGACAACAWTTCGTTGGGAACACGGCTAGAAATGTATCTAGAATCCAGTAGGCATTCCTGAAAATAACTTAAGATATAATGCATCAACTTATCGTGTGAAAACTGCCGGTCGAAATGTTATGTGAATTAGGTATGTCTAAATTTCGCTTGTACGGCTCCCCCGGACACCGATTGATATTGGGCAAGACCAAAATTGTTGTTTACATCCATTTAAAACCCTAATTGATCATTTGACAGATCAAAAAAGATCATTTCACAGCGTTTTTGGCTAAAAACGGAGGAACAGACTAATAAGCAAATTAGGTAATTCTAAATTTAGCTTCCGAGGCAACCCCCGCACACATATTTCGTTAGGCCACGACCAAAATTGTTTCTTGCATCCAGAGGACTCACTGTGAAACATTTGGTGCTATTATCCGGATTTGCACGATAAAAACGCTAACACACCGGACTATACCGCGGATTGCTTCRCTAACCAACAAAACAACTAGCTAACTCGCTTTAACAGCAGATTTTGGTGCCCAGGTTCAGAACAYGATGATAGGTTTTCGTTGTCTAGGTGTGAAAAGAACTGACATAAATTAAGTTATTTTCGGAGCAGAGTATAGAGAATTATTTCTATTCTRTACTTTTTGTATATAAACTTTTCTTACATTTTTTTTTAGTTGCTATCGAAAGAAGAATGTTTTGTTTCGACGATGCTTTTTTTCATCTAAAATTAAGCAGACTGAGGTAATTTGGAACACAGTCGCTTTGGTCGGGCCTCTTTTTTGAAGATGATTCAGGAAGCGCTATCATGTACAAAAAAAGTTGAATATATAATAACCAATGAAAGAAAATCAAGCATGTGCACACATTGGTTGATTAAATAATCAATGTAATTGGAATGTSTCTTTCTTTGATCCGATCCATTACAATTTGTCGTGTGTTAATCGGTGAAATAAAGCTGTTGGGGATGTTGAACACTCAAAAACATCCTAGTGCAGGGCAAAAAAGGATTACTATTAGTAATACAATTTGAGTGTATTTAACGTTACAACTGCGTTCAATCTATACACTAAAAATTATTTAACAAAAATCCTCTGACAACCCACTTTTCTTGATTTTAGTGCATATTTAATTTTATTTTATATTGCATTCCATGTATGTTATGAACTAAATCTCGCCTTTTCTTGGTCGTCCTTTGGACCTAGTGGTCACAGCAGCAGGATTAATCTTCATCATTTCCTTTTTCCACTTCATCCGTCTGTTTTGATACCAGGTTTTCAGTTGGAGAGGAGAAACACAAATGTACTTGGCAAAATTGTTTCTATCTTGAGTTGACAAGTACTTTTTGTGTACAAACTGTTCTTCCATTTTTTGGAGTTGGTATCGAGAGAATACCGTTCTGTTCCGACGAAGTTCTTTTCTTTTACCTAAATATTATCAATGAAAGATGTTATTAAAATCAAGCAAGTGCACACGTTTTTTTAACCCAATTTTGAAATAAATCACTTCATTCGTGTCTGACACCGAGCTGCAATCATCTAAGAGCCGCACTATGATAAACATTAATCCATCATTTTAGTTGAAAACGAGTAAGCATTGGTACACTGTGTAGACACTTCCTTTTTATTTGAATTTACAGATTTTTAACTTTTCTTTCGATTAGCGTTAGATATGTATAGTRTACCACATGTACGGCCGTGTTGTCAATCTCGAACCTATGAGCGTATGTGGGTCACTGAATCTCATAAAGATCAACATCAATCGATCACACTACAAATTAAAAAACTACAACATGTCACAACGACGCTTCACAGAGAACAGATTTTAAAAAAGTACAGTGACTTTTTTTCGAAGAAATCGGAAATATCGGCACCGCAATACGAAAAATTGGATTCATGCCTTCCCCTCGCAAAACAGAAACATGTGGATCAAATATTTTCATTTGAATCTTATTTGAGAACAAACAAATAATATCATACCAATTTTTTAAAATTCTTAATYTATTCCTTTGTACTAAATTCGAATGTTCTATTTTCTATGACAACGTTTCTGCAAGTAGGTCTATATAGTTACAAAGAATAATGGTAATACTTTAGCGGTAAATTAAGTGAACATTTTCTCTTTCTTTTATAGGATATATTGCCAAAAAAGTAATGCAATAACAACGATTAAACACAAAAAAACGAAAGAGTAAAATAAACTCGAATCAATGTTTCAAATTTTTATTTGATCAATGTCAGTACAGCAAGGCTGAGTTAAAAACTAATAAATCATTTCATTCATTACAAATAGACGGTATTTTCGAAGTCCGTGCACCCTAAAACTAAAGGCACTTATACGGTGTTTGGACGGTTT